TGTATCAAAATTATTGAAAAAAAAACTGCCTCAAGGCTATCTGTTACAGCTTACAGTACTTACAGCTTAAGAGGTCAGCAAAAGCTAACAACTACGAAAAGATAATGTATCAAAACAAAAAAAGCACCAAAAATCTAATAACAGATCTCCAGATATGGTATCAGAAAGAGGTCACTTGATGTAGTGCTTAGACATATTTGAAACTTCCATGAGACATACTAAATTAATTGTTATGTTTTCGGCTTATTGACTGCCTCGTTGGCCGAGTGGTCGCAAGTGCGACTGCCGGGCAAGGGGTCTCTTGTTCGATTCCCGGGTCGGGCAATAATTTACCGGGTTTTAAAAAAAATCTCAGTAGTAGCTCGGAGTCTGGAATTGTGCCCGGTATATGGCAATAGGCTCACCCCCTATTACATGGGACCTATAACATAAATAGTAAAAAGTGGGTGTTATATTGTACAGTGGCATTATGTGCACCTCTGCCTACCCCTTCGGGGATAAAAGGCGTGATGTTATGTTATGTTATGTTTTCGGCAAACTCACGTAAACATAATAATTTATATTTGGACACTAATTACAACTACCCGTTGTCACAATTCCTAACCAAATATCGTGTCTTATTATTAAAACAGCCTTGACTGTAGACTTTCCTTTATGATTCACGTGTTACTAGACATTTATGAGCGTCGCGCATGAACAGTTTCAGCTGCACGCGATATGAACATATTTAACGAACGCTCGTCAACTTGTTAAATAATGGAAATAAGATTTGTAACTAAAGAAAGCAAGGAAACAATGTTGAAATGAATAATTACAATTTTATTATAACTAATATTAAGTACAAATGTTACATAATTTTTTGGTCAGTTATGTTATTAGTCTCCTAACATAATGCCCATTTTTTTAAGGGGGAAACATCATCAAAAGACTTCCCGCCTGGGTGAGGCGGGAGGGAGTGTCAGACTCTTGCTGACTTAAAACCACCTCGTTCCTACTCCTGCACTTCAAGCTGGAGCCCCGGTAACCCGTTAAGTTCTCCGCGACTCCGTATCGGCATCGGCCCTGTTGGGCCCCATCTGTTGTAGTCTGATGGCTCTTTGAGCCGCACGCCGCGCGTTCAAGTCTGGTTCTGGTTGTGCAACGAGCAACCCACGCTCACCGTCCGCAGGCCCGAGCATTTCGACCATTAGACTAATGAAATAATCCTTTCCTTTGTCGCAATTTCATCAATAGTCTATAGTAGACCACTGCTGGAATATGAGCATTTTCTACGTAGGAACCTTCCTATTTCACAACTTCCACATTTAGTTGGCGGGCTGGAGATCACAGTTTAAAAAGAGGCTTATTCGAAAATACAGCAGTCTGATATCTGTCAAAATTGTCTCTTATACCAACTAGAAGAGTAGTGTCATGAATATAGAAACAAAATATACCTAACATTGTTATCGGATTGTTTCAGGACATGTTTCCACATCAGACGGACGGCGCAGTCGTCGAAGCAGCCCGGCGCGCCCATCCCCACGCTACCGTCCACGTACAGCGCACACGACTTCCACAACCCTTACCACGTCACTTCTTACACTGGAGGTATGTGATACTTACAAACAACTATTCGTAAAGACAATGCCTTAAAATGTATGGAGCAAAACCCAGAATCAATTAAAATTATACCAATGTATAAAATTGAAGACATTTGTTTGTTTGAACGCGCTAATCTCAGTAAATACTGGTCCGATTTGAAAAATTCTTATTGTATTGTACAGTCCATTTATCGAGGAAGGCTATAAAACATCACTCTACGATCAATAGGTGCCGAGCAGGGCGGATGAAATTGTGCCGAAGTAGCTAGTAATTTATATGTGGCTGCGACTCTTAAATTAATTACACAATTAAATCTGAAAACATATATGTCGTTTATAGAAAATATTTTAATAATCAATAGTCTGAATGTGTGTTTAGGATATATTGTATGTGCACAAAAATTAACGACCACTCGGCCTTTGTTGGCCGAGTGGTCGCAAGTGCGACTACCGGGCAAGGGGTCTCGGGTTCGATGCCGGGTTGGGCAAACTATTACTGGATTTAAAAAAATCTCAGTAGTAGCACGGAGTCTGGAATTGTGCCCGGTATATGGCAATAGGCTCACCCCTTATTACATGGGACTCATAATATAAATAGTGAAACGTGGGTGTTACATTGTACAGTGATATAATGTGCACCTCTGCCTATCCCTTCGGGGATAAAAGGCGTGATGTTATGATTTTTTATGAGAAAATAAACAAAAGTTATATTTTAAAATCTTTAATGACATTAAAATAATATTATATATCTGTTTATGCATGAGTGACCTTCTTGGACTTCATTTATGGCCAATAAAACTTTTAATGGGTAATATTGCTAACCAGAAATAAGTGCTAACTACAATACTAAACACTGTGACTGTCACGTATCGTCGATTGTTTTTAACCGACATCAAAAAAAAGGACGTTCTTAGTTTTACCTGTATGTTTGTGCACGATTGTCTTGCCTGAACAATTTTTTGTACGTAGTATAGCCTAGTATTGCACTAAGGGATAGACAAAGTTTTATTCAAGGTATTTAACTTTTCACCAGTATAAATTAATTTGCAAATATTCTTCGACAATACGCCTTTCGGATTCGACTAAATGTTAGTATAGACAACGGCACCATCAACATACTTCAATGAGTCAAACTACTACAAAATAATAGTATACAAAACATTTTCAATATTATACTCATAAGTGTCTAATATTCGGCCACCGTAAGCACGGGCCTGCGGACGGCGAGCACGGGTGACTCGCCGCCCGACCAGAACCAGGCCCGAGTGTACGGCGCATCGCGTTCCGCGCGCGCCTCAAGGAGCCATCAGACCACCACAGATGGGGCCTAACAGGGCTGATGCCGATACCGAACAGGGTGGTTTTTAGTCAGTAAGAGTCTGACACTCCCTCCCGCCTCACCCGGGCGGAAGAAGTCATTGGATGATTTTCCCCCTCAAAAAAAAAAGTCTAATATTATTTAGGATCCTTCAAGAAATACAACAGCTTTCTAAAAAAACGTTCCTTATTCGTCCTCAGGTCTTCACTTCCACCTGGCAGCTTCAATAAACGCGGAGACGGATATTCCTCTGGTACCCTCACTGGCAGGCGGCGGGCGGTTCATACTACACTGGCTACACAACAAAGAAATGCACTTCACTAGCCAAGCCGAAGCCATACTACACGATCTTACTAAAAAAGTAATATTATATTATAATATTGTTTTTGTAGAATTATTTTTGTAAGCTAGAATAAATAGAAATAGTAAAAATGCGGTTTACTTATATACTGTAATTTTTCACACATGCTCGACTAGTTTCGAGCCACAGTTTTATGAGCCCCGGTTGTAGCTCGAAAGCAGTGGAACTTCTTATAACTGTGGCTATTTCAAGAAATAACCTTAATAAATACGTCGTAATGCAGATAAACCGTTAGTCAGGACAATATAGACAATCTTTGACATTAAAAAATATATTATTTTCTAGATATTGGATAAGGAAGAAACTGACGAGGGAGGTTCAGCATCCGACCACACCGCACATCCCGACGGAGAGCATGAAAGTAAGTCTTGTGATTTTAAAATATTACACGGCCAATATAATATACCCAGCTGATAAGTAAATCTGAATCCTTTAACTTTAAAAAAAAGGTGCAAATTCTTGTAACATAATATTAAGACTACAAAACTTGTCGTAGCATTCGCAAACTGAAGAAGAAATTGCAGTCGATAACCATGCTTCCATTATGTAAACGCGCGTAACAGCTTAACTTGATTCGATGTGCTAATTAATATCGTTAAGCAATTGTATACTTTATTCTAATTAAAATAGAGCGTATATTTATCTGTATTACCATTGTAATTGTAACATTATAGTCAACTTATCAGAAAAGTAGTATGTATTTGAAAAATGTCATTATATAGTACCATCACAGGTGGCTTTTAGGTATAATTTAAAGTACAGCTCGCTTATTTATGACGCCATATTGCTTAATTTATTTCACGCTGCCTCTAGGACATAGACGTCCAAGTCAACATTTAACTAAAATGCAATCCGAGGATAACAGCAATAGTGATGAACAGCCAGGTAACGGAATATTTATGGTGCATGCTTTAACAACGTAGTACATTTACCTAAAATAAATATTTGTGGTTCGTATTCACTGTTACGCGAAAATCACCCGTATAGACTATGAAAAAGTTCATGTCAGTTTAAAATTATTTTATAACATCACCTACAGCCAACCTTTGTGTCCTGTAATTGTTTTTCTATTAAGTGATGACGCCTGCACGTTGATTTATTCCAGTATACTTAGATTTCAAGTCTATAAACAAAAACAACGGATTTATAAATCTACTACTAGAGGTACAACTGTACTAGATAAATCCAAAATCAGTTTCCCACGTCAACTTTAACAGATTTTCAATTTTATTACAAAACCAATAGCGTTCAAAATCTAATTCTTATCTTAAAAATCTAGGTAGCGGCAACCATAGTCACCCGAGTCTTTCGAATACGACCTCAATAAACTCGATAGCCACTGACGTCACTTGCACACACCTACCTGATTCACTTGACGCTAAGATCGAGTCGTTACTACGAGACTGGCATCAAAGCCCCGATCTACTGTTCTCTATACATCCTGTTGATGGCAGCTTTCTTATATGGTGAGTGGGTTTTTAAACTTATTACTAATCGTTTCATGATCTTTGATTGGTTGAACGTTTGTTGGTCTTGATTAGCAGAGTATAAAAACGTCACTTCTAAGCCAAAGGATACACAAATGCCCCACGACATGTATCGCCGACATGTCAAGCAAAGCCTGACATATTATAAGGCGACAACGCGCGTCTTATGTCAACAGCGACTTTGATGTTGCCACATATGTCGACCAAAATCTGGCGTCGCGCTACTTCACCCAAATTTGCTGGCAACGCGTGTCGCTGGGCATTTGTCCCCTAGTGTATCCTTAGCTTTACAGTTAACCCAAAATAAAAGACAAAGGGAATTTATGTGACTGCTCTGCTCATGTCTGTTCATACTCTCTATCTGCTTTTTATTAAGCACTTCTAGACTGAGATACAAGTTCCGATTTGTTGTGACAACAAACATCTATTAGTGCTCTTAATACTTGCCATTATCAATACTAATAATGCTATAGTCTTGTCTAGAGCAATCTCAGACACCGTTTTAAATTAAAAAGAAAAAGTAACGAATCCTTTGGTGCAGTTAATGAAATTGCGCCAGCCATTCTGTTAGTCCGACGTACTTTAACAACAAAATCCTTACAGGGTATGCGAATGGCTAGACGAGTTACAAGCCGGAGCAATCAGACAGGCACAAGTATCGTTCTCAGCGCGGATACCGTCAGCCTTCCCACTCGGTGACGCCACAACTATGTGTACTCCTGCCGCATTGTACCACGCCGCCGCTCAACCGTTGTATGTACGACACCGGACTAAACCTGTTATGCCGAGTAAGTTATACCCTATTATTGGTGACTAGCAAAATATTCCTTTAGAAAAGAAATCTTATAAGTTGAAAGAGTTGAAATTGGAAATGCAACTGTTGTTTACGAGTAAAAACACGAATGAACTATCCTGTTTTGTATAAAATGAATTTAAGATTTAGCATTGAACTACTGTTATTGACACACTATTTCTTCAAAACCTTAGCCTTATCTAACAACCTATGTAAGTAGCTATATAAGTCATCTGATCTACATAGTGATGTTTCAAATGTTTTTATCATTTTAGTGGGACCACAACAACCAGAAGTAGTGACGACACCGCTCGCTAGTGTACAAGAAGAAAAAGAAGAAGCTGAATGGCCGCAAGGTGAAGAACAAAATGAGAATCAAGAAAATGGTAAGTGGACCATAGGGTCAAACATGATAATACATATTTATAGTAAGGCACTCGTGTAATTTAATTAAAATGAAACGTTTACTACTGATTAATTGAAGCCGAAATGACAAAAGATGCAATAAAATTGTCAATCCTGATGTTTTCGCAATAAAACTATCATGAGATATTAGATTAATATGTTTAAAGTCGAAGTTTGAAGCTGCACGAAGTTTACCGCGTCATATAACACGCAATGATCATGAATATGAGCCCCAGGGTGGCCTCAAAACTAGTCGAGTTACCTCATCGAACAGTTATGTAAGTAAACAGTAAAAAATATTACTTGATCATGATGTTATTGTTTGTTAGGAAATCGAGAAGAGAACAACAATGAAATGCAAAGGAAAACGAGTGTGGCGACCGAGGATTTAGGGGAGAATCAGGAGGGAGACGTGTTGGACTCTGCACCCGTCATATCCATGGTCACCAATCACACCAACGGGACCCTCAATCTGTGGCAGTTGACCTTCGATGATAAGTCCAAGTTTTCTCAGGTAAATATATATGCATATTATATATAATCTTTAAATTAAAATAAATATTACTTCCATTTACAAGTTAAACAATTCAATTTATTTCCGATGAAAAGATAAATGAGACGGTAAAAGACTCGCAAAAGAGCTGAAAATGCAACTAAAAATATATTTTAACTCGTCGAGTACCGGTTTTGTAGACACAATTATAGAACAATAGGTTGCGCTCACCGGTGACCGCTTGGTGTTTGACAGTTTAAGTAGAGAGCAAGCCTATATCTGAAAAGTAACAATTTTATTGATAGATTAAAACTTTACTGAAAAGATACTTAGAAGTAATGCATTATTTCTTATATATTATTCTTTTCTGCTGCTCTGCTGGACTGCCTCGTTGGCCGAGTGGTAGCAAGTGCGACTGCCGGGCAAGGGGTCTCGGGTTCGATTCCCGGTTCGGGCAAAGTAATATTGGGTTTTTTTAAAAATTCTCAGTAGAAGCACGGAGTCTGGAATTGTGCCCGGTATATGGCAATAGACTCACCCCCTATGACATGGGACTCGGTAACATAAATAGTGAAAAAGTGGGTGTTACATTGTACAGTGGCATGATGTGCACCTCTGCCTACCCCTTGGGGGATAAAAGGCGTGATATTATGTTATTATTCTTTTCTCTGGACGCCAACAATACCTCTGTCGAGGGACTCACTGATGCAACATTTTAATATCTATGATTTGTGATCTTTTTCTAGTATTTTGTCAGAACTTTTAAGCAATGTAACACGATCTATTGTAAGGATGTTGCAATAGTGACGAACCGCTGGTATTTGATACTTCTAACAAATTTTTAGTTAATTTAAAATGTTTTAGATACGGGTTGACGTAACCTATTGGTTAAAAGCCTCTAAAATAAAATTGATAATAAAAAAAACAATACCTTGACTAGTTAAATTTTAACTAGTTAAGTTAAAATATTAGTCCAAACCTTGCCCTACAGCATAATAATAGTAGTATCTTGTTTTTGTTACAGGTGCTATCAATAGGCCATGCTTCCAGAGCGTCGGGCCATAGGTTTAGAGTAAACGACATTACATGCCATCCAGTATTACCTCTACTATTAACTACGAGCCATCATAACATATCTGGTAAGTTTCGATACCCCATATCCCATTAGCGTAATAATCAAGATCATCTTTCCCAGTAGTAAAACGTTGGTTACCGTAAAATAGTGTGGATAGCGATCTAGAGGTGAATGGAGACAGAAGAGGGGTGAATAGGTATTAGGAAATTCTTCATAGTATCGATTCACCCCTCTTCTGTGCCTATTCACCCCATTTTACCGTTACCGTTATTGCACATAAGGTTCTTATTTATATTACAACATTTTGTAAACATAAAATGAGATTGATTTGAAAGAGATTGATTTGCTTACCATAATTACGTACCAAATTACATTTAACTACTTAGTCATAATATCAATGGTAGCTAGGTATAGGTTTTTCAGGTTGATCGAAAGCTTCTCTCCCAGTGTTTATGTTTCTTTGGCGATTATTCGAAATATTGAACATACGTTAGTTTTACTACATTAAAAGTGATTATTACCAAAAAGCCAGAAACAATCATAATGCAGAGCCTCCTATAATTCTTCTAAAGTATTGATCATTACACCTTCTGAACCTGCACAGATAGTGAGAGAGACCACCACAAGTACGACGACGACGCAGCGGCCGGCGGGCTGTGCTCCGAGCTGATCATGTGGAGAGTCGAGTGCGTCGGGCCGCTCGGCAAGTCCGGGGGAGTGTCCGAACTGGCGCGAGTGAACTCTCCTCATCTATCAGCTTTTAGCAATGTTGCTTGGTTGCCTACGTTGTTGCCTAGGTAAGTTATTGTAGTGTTTGTTAATTAACTAAAAATGGCGGGTTACTCACGTGAATATACTGAGAAACGCTCTACTAGTTTCGAACCACTGAGGGGTTTTTCCTCATGAGTGGTCGCGGCTATGTCACGCAGCGTTCTGGCTGGCGTTGGCGCTCGCATCGGTGTTGCCTCTTGTGCTGCGAGCCCTGTCATAATACTTAATGAGGGGTTTATTTATTAATTTGGATTACTTAATCGATATTGTTGTTTTAGTGAAATTAATTTGTAACTGAACAAAATCCACTGATTTTGTTGGCTGTATTTCCAAACCAAGAATCAATACACTAACGCCCGAATACTGAAAGGCTATTTTTAAGTGGTACTTAAATATCGTGCCTTAAACAAGCAAACAATTTTAAGTGCGACTTAAAATTGAGTGACGTTTGAGTATTTCAGCGTAACTTAATGTAAAATATGTACATTTTGATTGAGAAAAGAAAGAAAGAAAGTCCTACTCCTCTAATATCTATGTTTAATTTCAGTACGACATTGGGCAACCTGTCTAATTCACCATCAGCATGTTTTGTGGCGAGTGACGGCGAGAGTCTGCGAGTGTTCCAAGCTGTCATAGACGCGCGGACATTGCTGGCTGAGATAGCCACCTCGGAGAGACGGCATAAAGATGTAATGGTAAATATGTACCATCATCCATGTCATTCATAACCATACCGTTAAGTAATTTGTGATGTCGCTTAGAACCTAACGGGTTACCGGGGCTCCGGCTCGAAGCGCAGGAGAAGGAACGGGGTGGTTTTTAGTCAGTATGAGCCTGACACTCCCTCCCGCCTCACCCAGGTGGGAGTAGTCATTCGACGATATTCCCCGCTTAAAAAAAAGTCACTTGTGATGTTTTGTCACTACATCACTACATAGTGTAAAACAAAGTCGCTATCCGCCGTCTATCTGTTCCTATGTATGTTTAGATCTTTAAAACTATGCAACGGATTTTGATGCGGTTTTTTTAATAGATAGAGTGATTCTTAAGGAAGATTTATATGTATAATACATGCATATTGCATCTGTGCGAAGCTGGGCGTGTCGCTAGTTTCTAATAAAGTAAAACAAGACTGATCAATTATAATAATAACAGCTTTTATGATGCCTTTACGCCTCATTAGTGTCACCTAGTGTGAAGTAAATAATAAACTCCAATATAAAAAATAGTGGCGATAGCTTTGCGCCTCAATCGATATCATGTTGTTCCCGAATTTCAAATGATCATATTATGAAATCATTTTACGTCGTCATGTAGTTCCCACGTCAATCACGTCACTCAGTTTTTTCACCTTTATAGTAAAGCTATTTTTCCAAAAGACCTCTAAGCTAACTAAAAATCTCTGTATCGCCTAAAGGTCGCCTGTTATTGTGCCTTTGAACTTTATTCTTACGTTATTTAGTTGTATTTATGGACTAATAAATCTTTCACAGCACGACACAATGTCGATGTCATCGGAGTCGACCCTGGAGGAAGGCGGCGGAGTTCCCCTGCACGACCGTATAAAGATAGTGTCGCAGCAGTCCACGGCGCGGCCCGGCGCCATCATACAGCTGCACGCCATAGCCGACGCCACGCACGACTGGCATAACACGCAGCTGTTGCATGTCTTCCAGGAACAACTCATTACTGGTGCGTAATGTAGGGTAGGCAGAGGTGTACATTATGCCACTGTACAATGTAACACCCACTTTTCACTATTTATGTTATGAGTCCCATGTAATAGGGGTGAGCCTATTGCCATATATCGGGCAGAATTCCAGACTCCGTGCTACTACTGAGAATTTTTATAAACCCAGTAATACTTTACCCGACCCGGGAATCGAACCCGAGAGTCGCACTCGGCCAACGAGGCAGTCAGGGCAACGAGTGTGTAATTGAAGCTATGATCAACAACATAGCAAATGACCAATTCATGATACGTCATGCTTACTGATCTTCGATCAACAATAACAACTAGATATCGGGTCTGCGCAAGAAAATCGTCTCGACAAATAAGAGCTCACTTGAGAAGTGAGCTCTTATTTTGTTTAGTATGCTCCAAACACGGCCAACGTACTCACGTCTCACGATGCCGCAGTGCATAATTGCAAGTTGCAAAAATAATAACCGAAAAAGCAGTATAACGGCTGGAGTGTCTTACTTTTGATAAGTACATAAAGTATAAGTTATATTTTAAGCTTTTAAACTAGTAAATAATATCAAATTAGACAAAATTATCAATTATAAACCAACGCCACCAATGTTTGTGCGTGTGTTGGCGACTCCTTGGCCAAGACTCGCCAACATTTGTTTAAACAGAACAGTGGATGCATCGAGTCGATTTGTATTGAAAAATAAAATTGTATTGTTTCTTGCTCGTTCTTCTCCATAGGAATCTACACCTTGGAATGAGCAAATAGCTTCACTTTTAAATTTATATTGTTGACGTTAAAAGTGCCTTCCTGGTCTAACTGAAATAAATGATTTTGACTTAGACTTAGACTTTTAATGACAAAGTAAATAAACATATCATACACAAAAACGTACCGCTAATAAAAATTAGTGATGTATACTAAGATCCCGAAATCTTAATTTTCATATTATAAAATTATTTTAGTGTCCAACGTGACTCCATACATACCTCCTGTAGCGAAATTCGAAATTTGAAGAAACAAAACGTAACAAAACAAAACGATATAGATCGCAAAACAATAATGGAAAAATTATCTTTATTTGTTCGAGTTTAAGGTTGAATTCAAACTAAATATTGTATAACTTATGTCTTTTAATTTCTACATGACAGGAGTAAGAAAATACTTTTCTTGTCTTATGTGACGAATGGTCGTAAGTATTAGATAATATTTTGACGATTTATGTCTTTATTATTAGGTGCCATTGTTGTTATTAGGTTGAACTTAAAACTATTTTAAAACATTTTCCTCCGTTTGTTATATTTTTACTATTATTATTCACACGGACAGAACTAGAGCTTGATTTTGTACGTAACCCTTTATCTAGTTGTTATTGTTGATCGAAGTTACTGATACATTCAGAAATTATTTAGAACCTTTTGTAAGCTCTTCCAACATTTGTTATTGAAACCTTATCTATTGTACCACAGAAATCACTAACATAATTTGATATAATATAGATATAAACTATGTAATTTCTTCTTCTCAGGCGAAAGGACTTCAGTAGAACCAGAAAACGTAGACTCGGGTCTAGAGAACTCTGAAGTGAACACGTTAACGGAAGCCGGGCTGGAGGCTATAGTGGATTTGCGTAAAGCTGCCGTCTTTAATGAGCCGTTCTACATCGTAGTGCTCGAGAGAACCGACGGAGGATCTACGGTGCATATGTGGAGATTAACTGTGTCTTCTCAGGCTGATCCTAACGGTAAGTAAACACTGCCGGAGCCTTAGCGAAGATATTGAGAATAAATCAATTTGAAATAAACTTCAACTACTATGGCATACGGGTGAAAATGGCATGCCAAAGAAGCTTGACGCGCGTGTCCCACTAAAATCGATCTTCGAGGATACAGGATCCCCAAATCATTAAATTATATTTCTTTTATAAAAAAAATATATGAATATACCCATTTTTACTTTCGCAGAAGACCTCACGAACAGTATGATGTACGTACCAGACAGTGCCCTAGTACAGGAAGACGAAGGTGAATCTCGCAAAAACTCCGTGTCTATGGACAACGACCGCGCTCCCCCTCCCCCCATTGCACACTCGCACATCTCTATTTCTACCAAAAAGGTAAGTTGTTAAAAACATTTTAAAAGATTACTTCCAGTTATTATATCCGTAATTAGTTTTTAATCATTATTATTAACTTCTTAATGTTCGTTTACGAAAAATCCACAACATTTATTCATACAAAAGAAGTTTCTAAACATCAGAAATAAGGTCTGTAATGGTGTAAGTGGAGAGCGGTCTCCGGTGACTGCTCGAATGTGTTGAAAGCGCGTAGAATAGGTAACATTATTCGCCAGATATGTTACGAATGCCGAAGAATTGGACAAGCTACTGTAACGTCCATAATTCCAGACTACTTATCTAATAATTAATTGATTACAAAGAATTTCGAAACCCCTTACTTTACTAAATCAATTTAACTTACAATATTATAGGTATGTGAATGCCCGCTTTCTCTCCCGGACGGAGTGGACGTGATCCACGCGACCCCAGCCGCCGGGCACCTAAGCTCCGCCTCCATATACCCCGCCTGCCTGGCTCCGTACATCATGGCCACTGCATGCACAGACAGCACCCTGAGGTAAGAGAACCTCCAAGAAAACCGACCGTACTCCTTTTTAAAACGTTGGCAATTCACTTGTATTGCACTTGAGCGGTTACAAGTGGATTTTCGGTCTTTTGGGGGGTTTGAAGATAGGGGATTGGGATTGATACCCCCATCCCCAGACGGCCGGACCAGTTTGCCTACTAATCCATAAGATACTTGTTGGCAAATAAATATCTTTCTTCTAATAAATCCAAATGAAAAACTGCATTACAATAATTATTGTTATTCCAGATTTTGGAAATGTCACGTAACGAAAAGAGATGATGAAGATTTCGACTACACGTGGAAAGAATGGGAAATGATGAACAAAGACCAAGAGTCGGCTATAGATATTCCAGGTAAATAACCAGGTTTAGGTACCTGGAAGGTGAGTCAAAAGATCAATCGTCGACACAAATTACCATTTTTATTTAATATTATTTTAGACTGACAAGGTTGAACATAACATACTTCAAAAAAGAAATTAGGAGCTATGTCTATATTTTCAGGTCAACCTCTCCACATAAGTGCGGCGTACTCAGGTCGTATAGCGTGCGCGTACAAATGTGGTCGTTCGTTCACGCGTCCGAAGGGTGGGGCCGCCACTAGTACTACGGACGCTCGCTTCGTGAACCTATGTGTCTGTGTTTACGAATGCGAAAGTACGGGAGGTGCAGAATGGTTATTAGAAGATACTATCCCGCTACGGAATGTTAGTCTACCCCGAGTAGGACTTTGTACAGACACACAGATTGACTTGTCTTATCTACATGATACCTCCTTCGTGCAAAAGAGGCAGCGGTTGAATCAGGTATGAATTGTTTATTAGTAAGATGTTTGGTAACATAACAGTTTTGGTCATTTAACAACCACAACTATTATTTAATTGAACAACTGCAACGAGAGGCAACAGCCTCGTTATGTGACTAATTACAAGGACGATTGTAGAGCAAGAAGTGTCAAGTTACTTTATCCATGAAATCAATATCAATACTACTTCCAGGTACTACAAACACTATCGTCAGACGAGAGTCGAAATAACCGCAACGGAGAAGGCGACACTGGCAAATCGGCAGGATTACTCGCTGTACCATCATTTAGCACTCTACAATCCCTTCGGAAGAGTATCATGGAGAATGGCAATACTTGTCCGTTAACCCAGAAACACTTGGTACAACTAGACTGGGTGTCTAAGGAAGACGGTTCGCATATTCTAACTGTGGCTGTCGGATCCAGGGTGTTATTGTTCACACCGGTTTCTAGTGATCTCGCTCAGGCTAACTTAAAGGTAAGATAATATATTTGCATTTGCTAAATATGCTTGTATTATATAGGATAGAATCAGGCGTTACTTTGCGGAAATCAATGCTTAACTAACAACTGGGAAAAGAAGCCACTGAGCCAACAACTCTTGAGGATGCTCAGTGGAGAAGCGAAACATAATTATGTCGAGGGTTAATCGAGTGGTTTTTTGCGTATCGCGTGTGTTTTGTGTCGCATCTCTGTTGAGCGTTTATCTGCGGGTTGTAGGGCGGTGCTGCATACTGCAAATTCATTCCTTCAACGGAATAAAAACTAAATATTTTCCTAGTTATTAATAATGCTTGTAATCTTTTAAGTTTTCGTATTGATCACTGAAACTCTGTTTTACCTGTGCTGCGTTTCATAACGCAAAACAAGATATTGTTATATAGATTTATGACCATATGTCTGCCTCATCGGCCGAGTGGTCACTGCCGGGCAAGGGGTCTCGGGGTCGATTCCCGGGTCGGGCAAGGTATTACTGGGTTTTTATAAAATAAGCTCAGTAGCAGCACAGACACTGGAAATGTGCCCGGTATATGGCAATAGGCTCATCCCTTATTACATAGTACTCGTAATATAAATAGTGAATAAGTGGGTGTTACATTGTACAATGGCATTAAGTGCCGTAATGTGCACCTCTGCCTACTCCTTCGAGGTTCGAGGATAAAAGGCGTGATGTTATGATGATGATGAGATTTATGCCCAATGCAATATTCGACTTACTACAATTCAAATTCTCTTTTGACACGATGTTCATTATGTCAAAATTGCATCTAACAATTCAGAAACGAATTCATTTCAAATTCTTAGAACATTTACAGGCATTTGCGAATAGTACTGAAGACCATGAAATATTAAGATGTCAATCTTGTGCTGAATTTCGGGAAAAGAATACGGTTACTCTTTACTTTTGATTTTATGTAACATCATACATACTACCTCATTTATCTTACTATAGTGTTCTATCCACCCAAAGCTATCACTTTTAGCGATAAGGCCGTCTTTGTACTTCATTTTCTTTATTTTGTAGCTCGATATACTGTCTCAAATTGTGTACAATAAAGATTATTCTATTCTACAACTATTATTAATTTTAAAAATAATTTGACACATTATGTATAGAGCTAATGTTAAAATTATACCTCCAGTAGCTAAAAACTACGGATAGATGATTGATTATAAGCACGGATAGGATTTAGAATAGCATCTAGTAAACAAACACGTAAAATACCTATCGTTTTGGTCGCTAGATGGTGCAAATGTAGCATAATATTTTTGTCCAATCAGTGTACCTATCGAATATTGAAAGTCCAATCGTGTGACACTAGCTAATTCCCTATTGGATGAATTCGAAAGGTTTACACTAGCACCATCTGGTAACAAAAATACAGTAGCCCCAATTAAAATAAAGTTGAATAACTGTCATTTATTAATTCATATAAATAGTTGCCAGGGAATGAAAATTAAAAATCTAATTAGTCCGTCAGTTAGATAATGAAAAAAATATTAGACACGTATTTTTCTTGTATAAAGTTACAATACTTAGATAAAATGGAGTTAAGTTTAGTAGTGGAAGGCCGTTACGTCACTATGCTCGACAAAATGTAGGGCATAGTATATATCGTCGAAAGAATTTAATTTGTGAGAAAAGAAAAATATGTGTATAATGTTTTAAATTAATCTATCAGACGGACATTAAAAAAATTTAGGCAACTACCCTATTGTTCCACAATATTGTACAGCAGTAATGTGTAACATATCACTGTAGAGAGTATATTGTAACATTTAACAATTTCAACAAATCAAAAAATAAACAATACGCGCATCTTTTCAGGCTATGAAAGAATCGATAAGCAATAACCGACCAATACTGCGCAAGGCGTCATCGTTAGCCGCGCCCCTATTCGTCGAAGAAATCAGATGGATGCAACTCCGACGTATCGAGTTGAAGACAGCTGATGGCCTACCACCGTTACCCATGCAAATATCCTGGGTCAGAGATGGTATTCTCGTCGTGGGTATGGATTCGGAAATGCATGTGTATTCGCAATGGAAGCCTGAGAATCCACAGTCCGCGTCCGGAATGATGGGGACACAGGTACCTATGTGTATTTTGTTTGTTGTTAATTTAGATCCGAATACTGAAATGTTGATGGACGAATAAGTTGATTGTAAAAGATAAAATGTAAAAGGTAAAGATTATGTTGCCCTCGAAATAATTTAGCAGTCAGCATACATCATACCCATTGCATAATTCTTTCTATTTTCATCATGACACTCCTTGATACTTTTATAGTAAAATAGGGCGATATTGTGACAGTATGGCGTCTGAAAAAAGATAAATATTAAACTGTCAAACACCAAGCGGTCACCGGTGACCGCAACCTATTGTTCTATAATTGTGTCTACAAAACCGGTACTCGACGAGTTAAGGTGACCTCGATAAGACGTCTTCTTCTGTGCATATTGCCCCATGGCTGGGTACTGAAATTCAAGCATCATGTGCTTGCTAGCATTTTGACACACAATATGATTATTTAATATTCTTATTATATTTTACCCAGGAACTGGAAGAAGGCAGTGAGTCCCGCGCACTCCGTGACTCGGACCTGCGTATATCGGCGCCTCACCTCCAACGGGTGTCGTCGATCAATCTGCAACTGTTGGAACGAGACGCTAGGAGACGCAACAAAACACAGCCGGATCAACCTCAGGTATTTAGAAGCATTTAGATACTAAAAAATATTTGAAAATGGCCTCTACTGATACTGTAGGATAACAGACTTCCTGTAAAGGAGGACTCTTCTTTTAAAAAGGGAGTTTAGGCTGCTACGACTAAATGAAATGTGTATCTCCATCAATTAAGATTCGATTAACTAAAAATCACGCGACCGCGCACTCTGTTCATGAGGCAGAACCCCTCTGTGGTTCGAAACTAGTAGATTTTTTTTCAGTATTTTCACGTGAGTAACCCGCGGTTTTTAGTTAATTATAGTTCAGTGCCAATTACCTTCCGGATTGCAAAAAAAAAATTTAGTGTAAAACATAAGAATAAATACATCGAAGTTGCTAATTCAGTGGTTCAAGTTCAAGTTCTTCCTAAAACACAATAATTTTCGGTCAAATATGACATACGTCTGTAAAAGCGATAAGTTATAAATTACTGCAAAGCAATTTAAACCTTATTACTATTATTTTCATTTTCATTTTACTTTCCCAGCCCTTGTTAGACTACATGCCAGACTACGGATTGTTCGAAGCGTCACAGATGGCCTGTCCTGTGCTACCTCAGTACCATCCCAAGCAACTGATGGAGCTGCTTAACAGTGGCAAGATACGATGGGTTAAAGCTATACTTGCTCATTTAGTCAGGTAATTGCTATTCTAGCTAGGAAGTATCAAATTGAACAAAGGACAACAAAGAACAAACAAAACAAACAATCTCAACATCATTCATTTCCGACCTTTCTTGCAATCCTAACTTCTAAGGACATCCTGTATAATACGGCTGAATAAAAATGCAATGACGGTGCGAAAAATATCCTAAATGCTTAAGGAACAAGGTCGATATTATAGTCAAACTTTTACTCTAAATACTATTTTAATTTCTGCTCCCGTATTTCATAAATCATATTTTCCAACAGATGTATTGGTGGTACATACACCGGACGCAGTTCACAGGGTGACGAAGACAGTTTATCTAGACAGGTATTTTATTATTTCTTCATCATCTAAAACAATTTAATACATGTTGAATATAACCTTATAACTTAAAATACGATAATAATAGGAATGACGTCATAATTTCGACATATTAACGCGCGCTTAATACATAGATGTTAATTTCTAACACAAAATAATTGCTTTTATGTATTGTATCATGTATGTACACTTGAAATGTATAAGGTATGTAATATCAGGCACAAATTAACATTGACTGATATACTAATATGACCTATATAATGGAACTATTAAAGTGCACTTTCTATTGATCGTTAAAACTATATTGTGTTTGAAATGTTTTTTATAAATGTTTTGTCTTTATCTACTTATGTATTGTGATGTTGTCTCTCTTGCTTGAATATTTAAAAAAGATTAACTGTGGAAGATGACTTGATTATATGTTTACTAAAACTAGTTCTTAGGAATAAGTTTAATATTTGATATCAATTGAAATTATTTTAGTAGTATCACATAAAAGAAAGAAGTAGCTATAAAAGTATCGAAGTTAGTACATAAATGAAGAGAAGTTCACATTAGTATACACTTTAATATAACCAATTTGAATAGAAAAACACGTAGTTAAAATATAACCAATCAGCATTAGACGCATGAATAAAATCCCACTTCGATTGTTGTCGAACATTCGAAATGTTCGAAAGCATTGTCACACATTTGCGATTAACCTTTCACAGGAAAATCGCTTTAGTTTAAACCCACAGGAACATTTTTCACTTCTCAGAGGCGAAGGGCGATTCTAGAATGTTATAAAAAGTTTCTAATTATGATATCAACGAGAGATCGTTTACAAACTTTTGTACGAAATACTATCTGATTTTAAGGCTGGTTCGATGATGACTATCAGATTTTGGGAAGGGCTATAATATAAAATCAATAATTTCAATGAAAATCTGAATATCGATGTCTGTAACTCATTATTGTGTACGCTTTATTTGTATGTACAGAATATTGTCCAATAATAATATTCGCTGTAATGTAATGACGTGAAGGTTATGGCAAACCCCTCATTTCGAGGAGGCCTATAGTCCATCAGATACTTTTAGACGGATGTATGTAAATGTGAACCCTTCGCCGCTGGTCATTGTTTCTACACGACTACACATCAAGCTATGATAACCAGTATGAACTGACTGTTAAATGTGCGGTAAAGCAATACAAAGCCAGACCATGATAAACTTGTAGTCGGCGACGGCGACTTCTCGCGTCGGGGTCTGGTGCAGAGCATGGTACGGATCGAGGGTGGTTGGGATGTTGTCTCCTCCTTCTGCGAAGCAGTCATGCTAGCCAAGGAGGAGGCGGGGCGCGTGAGGGTACGAACCTCCTCACGCCCCAGCCGTCGCGAGAGTCGTAGCGTCCGGCCACCGTAAGTGCGGATGCTGGTTTTTAGTCAGTAAGAGTCTGACACTCCCTCTCCTCTCACCCGGGCGGTAGAAGTGGTTGGATGATCCCCCCCCAAAATACCTTGATAAACTGGTATTGTTTAGCTTGATGTGGAAGCGTGTTGTTGTCACTTGCGATTAAACGTCGCGCCGCTGTTGCATGTCGCACGTGTTGCAGCGCGGTTGGTCGCGGTCGCGCACGCTGTCGGTCTCGTTCGCCGCCGGCGCTGCTTCGCCGCTAGATGGCGTTGCACAGGTAAATGTAGCTTTCATATACACGCTCACTATGTATTATATTCCTTTTGATTGTTGTTATGTGTTTATTGGTAGGAAAAAATTTACGAAACTGCTTGTCTATTAGTGAAAACGAAATGGATCTTACAAGCATAGTGAAACTATTTTGAAATAAATTTTAATGCTAAGCAAATCAATTTTATTACATGTCCCTAGACCCTTATCTAGAACACCGTTAAAATGAATGACACACTTCAACATTGGTTAGTATAACTGCAACTATAGTGTTATGTCGACCCCCTTCCACAACATTTACCTACCACATACACCAACAAGTCAACCCTACTCCAATCTGTAAATTAATTTACTTTCAAACTTGATCCTTTTGAAATAAGATTGAAAATCCAGTATAGAAAGTCCGAGATAGTAATAATTGTATATTACTAATACAGATAACAGAAGATGTTCAGTTAGACTACGCTGAGATTACTTCAGTGCCACCGCTGCCTTTGTGGACTCTACTCGTAGCTGACAAGGAGTCTCCACACCATCCGTCCACTATACAAGAAGCTAAGGTAAAAGATTCACTAGCACCCAAATATTGAAAGGTTACTCAATATTGCTATATAGTTAAATATCGTGCTATCTCTGTCATTTTACAAAGAATTCTTAGTGACAGAACTATACTTAAGCGCGACTTACATTGGTGTAGCCTTTCAGTATACGGGCGTATTACTTTTAAAATATATAATAGTGAAACATTGCTCAATGTGAAAACTACTTATTGCATCCACGACACAGAAGAAAGAACTGGTGTGACACAACTTGTATTTTTTTTAAATAGACAGTTCTTACGGCAGATTGTAAAATGGAACAGACTCGTCTACTTTCTGTACTAACATCGAAATAAAACAAAATATCATGAAACGCGTCTAAGGTCTACTTGGGTCTTATACATTATTTGCAATCAGTAACGGTCATTCGTATTAACTATAATAGAAAATAAATCATTATTCAATGCCCATTTCAATTAACTCATCTATTTGATTGTTCACAGGACTATAACGAATTATTCGAAGGTACAATACAAGATACTGACGATGACCTTGACGCTTTGTTGTTGGGTGATGATGAGGGTGTTGATAGACGGCCCTCCATGCCGGAACGACAGCCTCTGTCACACTTTGGACCGAGACAAGGTAAGATTAACACTAAAACCTATCCTAGTACCTCTATTAGCTATCTTGAACCGATGGTTTTATTTTCATCTGTGAAGCAGAATAATTATACTTAAACACATAACGTAACGCCTTTTATTATACAGGAAGCTATAGAATCAAGTGTAAACAGGGTGACTTGTAACTCGACGTTTTCCTCTTGAGAGGTGGTAATATAACAAATTTCCTACAAAATTAGCCCTGAGGTCCCTGGTCCGAAAGTGGCTAGTTTCTGAGATATTCAACATCTTTGGTTTCGGTCAAAATCTCGAACTACAAAAATATCAATAAACAAATAAATGACTATTGGTTTTTAAAAAGAATTAAGTGATTTCAGTTTTAATTTGTTTTCAATGTCAATGTCATTCATTTGTCATCAAATTTTGTTTTAAGTCAATAGAAAACTGGATACATTTTAAAAATTGATATTACACTAAGTGTACAAACTATTATAAAGTCTTTCATGGTTTATTAAGTACATTAAAATATTTATAAAATTCCTAAAATAAATTAATAACTTGATGCTAAGTGTAAAGGAAATTTCAATATCATCATTATTTACAAAATTTTGTTCAAAGTGACCTCCCCATGATAAATACATGCCCGCACACGCTTCCTTATCTCTACGACGGTCACTCTAACTGAATGAGCATCATATTTCTTGAGGCGCTTTAATTGTTTTTCCACTAGGAAGCATAAACATGGGACTTCATGTCGGTCGTGTCTGTCGCGTCTGCGATGTTTGTCGTATCGCCCGCACACGTTTCCTTATCTCTGTGACGGTCGCTCTTGAACTGAATGAGCGTCTTAATTCTTCATCCGCTTCAATTATAAATTGTAAAAGATCCAAGCTTTCTTAGACGAATTATGGACGGAGAGCAATTCGACCAGGATAGTATTACAAACTATCAAAAAATCCATTAAATTAAATTAAAAAAAAAACAATAAAAATGCAAAACGAACATGTTCACGACAACGGTATCCATTTAAATATTTGGATGAGTGTCATTAATAATTACTTGATTTAACTCAACTCTTTGTCGAATAATTGAAATTGTGATAATTATGAGGAATTTTTAAGGAATGAGCTAGGGTCATTAATAATTTATAATGTGGATTTTAGAATCAAGGAGACGAATGAATACAACCGACACGATGGATACGACCGAAACGACAAACACGACCGTAACGACAAATACGACCGATACGACGGATACGACAAGCATGACAAACACGACCGACACGACAAACACGACCGATACGACGGATACGACAAACACGACCGATGCAACAAATACGACCAATAAGCCAAACACGACGGATACGACAAATACGACTGATTCGACGGATACAAGAAACACGACCGACACGACAAATACGACCGACACGACAAATGCCACCGACACGACAAATACGACCGATACGACAAACACGACCGACACGACAAATACGACCGATGCGACAAATACGACCGATACGACAAATACGACCGACACGACAAATACGACAAATACGACCGATGCGACAAATACGTTCGATACGACAAATGCGACCGACACGACAGATACGACCGACACGACAAATACGACCGACACGACAAATACGACCGACACGACAAATACGACCGACACGACAAATACGACCGACACGACAAATACGACCGACACGACAAATACGACCGACACGACAAATACGACCGACACGACAAATACGACCGACACGACAAATACGACCGACACGACAAATACGACCGACACGACAAATACGACCGACACGACAAATACGACCGACACGACAAATGCGACCGACACGACAAATACGACCGATGCGACAAATACGACCGGTACGACAAACACGACCGACACGGCGGACACGACCGGCACGAAAGACACGACCGATACGACAAACAAGACAAATATGGCAGACACGACCGACGCGACATACATACGACCGACACGACGGATACGACAAACAAGACAAATATGGCAGATACGACCGGCACGAAAGACACGACCGATACGACAAACAAGACAAATATGGCAGACACGACCGACGCGACATACACGACCGACACGACGGATACGACAAACAAGACAAATATGGCAGACACGACCGATACGACAGACACGACCGACATGAATTCCTTGTTTATGCAACGCCAATCCCGCCTATCGAAATTTCTAGCAGAAAATAATTGGGTTGTGTCCAGGGTATCAAAATTAAAAATCTAATTTAACGAACGGAGAAGGAGTATTATGGGGCACAATTTTAAGATAGGATTTAAGATGAGAACGAGTAAGGACTTCAGGAGGACGCACCAAGGAGAAACGGTCTCGGATATAAGTAGGATAGGCTGGGTTGAAGAAGGATGTTATAGAGGAGACATAATATGCGAGTTTTCCTGCGAAGACGGATTGGGAGCCACCTGAGCCTGTTACGGAATTCAGAAATATGATCGAACTTCCTAAGACCAAAGACGAAACGGATACATACATTTTGTAAACGCTCAAGTTTATTTAATAGCTCCTCTGTGGCGTCCAAATAGCATCTACATAGTCAATGAGAGGCAAAATCAGCGCCTGGACGAGGTAAATCTTAGTCTTCATCGGAAGCAGAGTCTGGAGGCACCTCAGCGAGTGAATGGAGAAATGAACACACTTCGTTACACTTTATTGATGTATTGACAACAAATTAAGACTAAAAACTCAAATCAAACCAATAGTTTTTTATTTATTGACGTTTTTGTAGTTGTACTTCGAGAGTTTTTGAACAAAACGAAAAATGTTGAATATCTCAGAAACTAGCCACTTTTGTTCTAGGGACCTCAGGGCTAATTTTTCGTTACCTCCCGAGAGGAATACGTCGAGTTACAAGTCACCCTGTATATTACATGTAGGTAACTTTTTTCCAGTTGTATAAATCTCGGACAGAGACATCTCAGAGGCAAAGAAACTATACGATTAATTAAAATTTTAAATGTTGTCGCATAGGATTTAAATAATTTCAGCTATAACAGCTACTCACATTTTAAACCATCTTGGTTACTCGTCACTTAGTCTGTTCAACATCTTTTGTAACCTGTGTTCTACAAATAAAGTAATTTGAATTTGTTTATATTGTCATATATTGTTTGTATCGTCTGTTTATATTGTTTATATCGTCTTTTTATTTACTAAGCAATGTGCTCGAGCTAAATGGAGTACTATATGAGAAGTCTCCAACTACATCTCCAATAGTACAAAAACGGGCTAACTATGAGGATCAATTTTTTATGAATTTCTTTTCATTTCTTGCCCAGGTCGGATCCTCTCCCGCCTACTCACGCACACCCACCTGCCGGGCCTCAGTTCGTTGGACCAAATGCATCTGTTAGCGTTAGCGGACACCGTGTCTACTTGTGACGCGGACTTCGCCGAACGACTGGCCACTAGTGCACGCGTTGACGTTGCTCAGGCAACTGGACAAGAAATATTACCAGGTAAATGAGAATTAAAGTGAAGTTGGGACTTCAAACTTTGTTACATATTATATAGGAATACAGCGATGAAATGCAGAAATAAAATAATTACGACTTATTGCGATATGCAATAAGTAAATTTTAGGCAAAAGATGTTGAGAACCTACAGGTTATTTAATAAAGCACCACGTCTGAAATTACTTTTTCTCGCCGCTATACCTAGAATAGTACTCAATAATTTCTTAATCTTCTAGACTCCCTGGACGATTGTGGTCTCCGTTTCCTCCTGGCCATGAAGCACTACGGCTATCTACTGCGCTGCTTACCTCTCGCCCAGCGCGCCAACTTGCAACGCAATGGCGTTGGTACCTGCAACCTAGTGTGGGCCTTCCACTCGGAGACACATGAACAACTCCTGGCTTTAATACCAGGGTATACCAAGGGACAGCCTAAATGGTCCACAATGAGGGAACTTGGTAAATTCTTTGATTTATTCTTTATATTTAAATAACGGCAGAGCTTATGATCGCAACTATTCAAGGGCGTTAAACTAACAGCTCACGCGACGTTGGTCGCTGCACCTCCTGCCTCGGTATATGAACCCCTGTCTTGAGTTGAAACTAGTCGGATACCCTTGAATATGGAATAAACCTATTAATTCGATATGGCCGAACGTGGACGACAAAATTGTGAATTGTAGAGAATTTAATGATCTAGTCAAATTGATTTGCCCCCGTCATGGAATGCGACCCTTTCATGAACTACTTCGAAACATTTCATGAAATGAGCAAATCTGCGATAGACATGTTAACTCTATAGCTTTTCACTTACAGGTGTGGGTTGGTGGGTGCGAGGCGAGTTACTCCGCACTTGCATGGAGAAGCTAGCCCGAGCAGCGTATATGCAGAAACAGGACCCGATGGACGCTGCCCTCTACTACCTCGCTATGAAGAAACGAATGTTATTGTGGGGACTGTTCCGCTCCAGTAGAGATGAGAAGATGACTAATGTGAGTTGCTGAATTTTGTATATATTTTAGCTTTGTTCTCAGTTAAAGACCAAGAGTAGGACAGCTACAGGCTGATGAGATAACGGTCAAAGAAGAAATTGACTAATTTTGTTTTACTTCTCATACTAATGTTTGAAAACAGCATTTCCTTCTGATTTTGGTTCATATTGTTTGGAACTCCAGTACTAAGATATCATTAATTCACTTCGATTCAATAAATTATTAGTACCTTTTATGACCCGAATTTTCGTCGTTCTCACGTGTGTGCAATAAAGTTAAGGCACTATGCCAGTCTTCAATATTAATTAGAGAGGGAAGGTTTTACATTAGTTTAAAGTCAAACCTCATATTGGAATTATTAGATACTCATAAATTAAACCTAAAAAAAAACATATATCATATCTTATCTCCCATAGTTCTTCTCAAACGACTTCACGGAAGACCGTTGGCGTAAGGCAGCGTTGAAAAACGCATTCGTACTACTCGGTAGGCAACGATTTGAACATGCAGCCGCTTTCTTCTTACTTGGAGGTGCTCTAAAGGATGCTTTGGAGGTAAGCTATTATAACTTCTATGTATTTAGAAATAAGGTCGATATTAGCTTGGCAATTTCATTTTCACTAAATTCAAAATATAAAGAGTTGTTCTATTTGTAAAGTTGTTTTTTTTTTATAGGTGCTAATCACACGTCTTGGAGACTTACAACTAGCGATGGTAGTAGCGCGTTTGTACGAAGCAGACAATCCTCTGCCGACTAGCTTAAGGAAATTGTTGATGGATGAAATCTTGGGGTAAGTTCATCTATTATTTACATTAAGTTACTGTGCTGTATAGTTAACTAAAAATGCGTCTAGGAAAGGCGGTTGGAAATAAATTTCTACTACATAAAATCTGACATTTTGATTACAAGATTTATTAAAAGAAAAACAAGAAGGCAACAAACACAGTTTATTTCACCGTTACAAAAATTAAACAAGAAAAATATTTAAAAAAAAAAGGACAGTATACACGGTGCAAAAAGGTCAGTGCTCAGCTAAAATGCCGTGTCCCGAGCGCGATTGGTCGAGCCGCGGCGCTGATTTTCAGTACTGACTCCAGAACAACACTAGCCCCCAAAAACACAGGATGATCAGCGTTCAACTAAAACATTATCATTTGCAAAATCAAAATCCTAATATCTCTTTGCAGAGGTGAAACAGAAGACGGCGAACTAGACCTAGAACGTGCTCATCCCGATCCATTCGTTCGTTCCATGGCGCTATGGGAACTCAAACGTTACGGCGACGCCCTCGACACGTTGCTAAGCAACGCCGGTCGTTTACACGCGGCTAGAGACAACGAACCAATGCCTAGCGTGTTCAACTTCTACGTGTATTTGAGAACGCATCCCAGATTGAAGAGACATAATTTGCCTAGTCAGGTTTGTGAATTTAATTCTATTGATATTGATCACAGATAAGTGCGTCTGTGGTTTAGAAGAAGGAATCAAAGATTGTAGTTATAATGAAATGATATTGAGATGCATTGACCAATATCCTATCTATTTATAGTATGCATTTTTGGCCCTAAGCCCTCTTACTCACTATCGAACAACCGCGCCCCCAACCGCGCGGCTAGCCGCTCCCGCGATTGAACGTTTTTCCAATTTAATATGCAATTGTAATATAACCTCTACACTGACTGCTAGTGCATAAGGACGCTAAGAATGACTATGGTGTAATTTTACCAGAGCAATAACTTAAGTCCTAAATTAAAAATAAATTATTCGAGGTTTCAATCAACACCCTCAATCACCCTCATCAATTCAATCAGCCACAATTTATTTATAAAATAAAATAACTTAACCAACAGGGTGGCACCTTAGCCCTTCTTCAACAAGAAGCTGAAGAAGGAATAACTCGCCTGGAACGTCGTTTGTACTTCCAAACTGCGCACGGACACTTCAAAGCAGGTTGTCCTGCCTTGGCCCTGGAAGTGTTGTCGAAGCTCCCCGCCAGAGTGCGCGACGAGCGCGCCCGCCAGCCTGCGCCCGCGCAACACATCGATGACGTCATACACACCGGACAGCTCGTCGACCTACCAGCTAAAAGTACGCTACCTTCAACTCTCTTTGTACGTCTGATGATTATTGTTTTGTGATTTTGTTGCTTTTTTCTATAATTATTGTTGGTTTTTCTCTCCAGCCTCAATAGATCATAATATTTCCCATCTTGATATATTATTGATGTTCTTCTGTTGTAATACTACTTCTCGACCTAAAATTTTGATTTAGCTTTTTATTTGTTGTATGTTTTCACAAAGAGTACACTCTACCTACGAGTATTTGACGTACTTATACATCTGTTGCGTAGTCGCCTAGTTTTAAACGAGTCACTGTGTTCAAAAACACATGCTGTGTACTAAAACATCTTTATTTAGTACCAAATATGTACTATTTAATGTCAAACTCGTGTATATTTATAGTATAAGGTTCGTTTTTAAACCTATAATTTTAAGTAAACTTATGAAATATTCGACGAACAGAGGAGGAACCGACTAACGTGGACTGGGGTGCACCGGCAGTAGAAGTGGACTGGGGAGCTCCAGTCACTACCAACAAGACTGACGAACTCGTACTCAGCTGGGATGACGACGATGACAAGGGGTAAGTGCTCCCACCAAAAATATTTGCTTGTAAAGCGGTGCCAACATGACTTTGCGCTTGCGAAGTTATCAAATTTTAAGTAAAACCAAGTTCCTAATCCTAACTCTACATCACTAGGCGGAGACATTGCAAGCAGAGAAGGTTTTGTTAAACAACCAATAAAAACTTATTGTGTTTTTCGGCTTACTAACATAATTATTTGACGAGGAACTGGACTAGTTTCAAGGCATGCTCCAGCATGGATGGCTACTCGAATATGAGCCTAGAGCGTAGTAGAACGACAGTCACCGCTTCGCGGGTTGCGGAATGCTGCTAGCTTGAAATTAGTCGAGTTCTTCGTCAAATGATTACGCGAGTAAGCCGAAAAACATAATCATTTATGTAAACTTCTGTTATTTAATACTTTCTCGTCTTCGTTTTGGTGGAGTTCGTGTGTAAATATGTGGCTTTTCTTTTGTTACCCTCACACAGGCGACAATGTGAAAATGTCTACTGGTTATTATTCTTTTAACGTATATTGTCCAACATAGATTTCGTAGTAATACAATAAAAAATAATACTTGTTCTTTTTATCCAGTTCGGAAGGATCAGGATCTTCCACACCGCCATTAGAAATGAAAATGGACAAACAAGAAGACAATGAAGAACCGACAGTGAACGGTACTTCTGAGAAAGAGAAGGGGTCGGACGAGGCGCCCTCTGTCGACATTATGGCGCAACAACTGAAGTTTGTGGCTTGCTTGAAGATATTGATGGAGGAACTTAGTACTTTGGCAACTGGGTTCGAGGTTGACGGTAAGTTCAGGTCATTTATGATCATTGTTGATTTTATTATGTAGCGTAGGGCTTACGCTAATGGTCGACACTAATCCACAACCTCACCATAAGCCATAACATACCATTTTCAGTTTCTCTGAAAAGTACCTAATATAAATCTGGGTGCTAGAGATGATGATATTCATGTTTGTTGCGGAAAAATGGACTTTATTTTATTTTATTAAAACCTTATGAGTATGTAATTCTATAATCTATACAAGGCTTTCAACAGTGATTTGTACGCTAAGCTGTACATAAATACCTCTATGCCTCAGGTGGTCACCTACGGTACCAGTTATACATATGGCTGGAACGCGAAGTAGAGGCGCTCCGCCGTCTCTGTGGATATTTGGCAGCGGGCTCCAGTGGCGGGGGTGGAGCTCTACTCTGTGCTGAACCTGAACTAGCTCCACTACCAGAACGACCCACTTTGCACCAGCTTCTGGTGCGAGAGAAGGCAGATTTTGAGGCTAAAGTTCAAAGGGCTCTTAATAGGAAGAGGTGGCTTAAAGGTAAGCGCTTATGAAATGTGTTTATTAAATATGAAGGGAATTAAAACATGTTTTTCTTTTTAATTTTATGTGTTAATTGAATAAGAAAATACCTATCTACCAAATAGTCGAACCAGCGATCTGATTCTCACCTTGTTAAGGTTCGTTCAGACTAGATGCGTATGCGTGTACGTGCACGTACCACTGCGTGCATACGTATCCGGTTTGCCTTTATAATCATTTTCTTATTACTTAAACTGTCAAACACCGCGAGGATACCGGTGACTGCAACCTATTGTTCTTTAATTGTGTCTATAATGACGGTACTCAAAGAGTTAAAACTATTACAACAAATGTAAGTAGTAATATTAGTACATCATTAAAATACAATTTAAATTACCCATACTTTTATCTCCTAGCAAACGAGACTCTCCTCCGCACGTTACTGTCGTACTGCTCCCTGCACGGCGCGGGCGGCGGCGGGCTGGCGTCGGTCCGCATGGAGCTGGTGCTGCTCCTGCAGGAGCTCGGCCAGGACAAGCAGCACCAACAACTGCTGTCCCCGCTACCATTCCCCACCACGTTGCCTCTGTTGGCCGCCGCCGTAGCTACTAACAACACTGTTGTTGCTGATCCAGTTAGGCATTTGCAGGTTTGTATTGATTGTAATTATATTTGATCTATGAAGTCTGCGTTCGTATTCGTGAGAATTATTTTTAGAATTCATTCTTGTATCACAGACTATAATTGTAATACCGCTGTTCTTAGTCTACGAATGTATAGCGCTAATAAAAGTTAAGTTGGACTATTCCCGATTTATGAAGCTCTGACATACTTAATGTTAAGATTTTGTGTGTGTGTGTGTGTGTGTGTTTCACGCAAAACGGCTTAAGGGGTCGAGATGAATTTTGGAACAGTGTAGATTATGGTCTGGAATGACACATAGGCTAATTTTTATCCCACGAGAATGCGGATGAAACCACTAGCAGAAGCTTATACATATTCTTAATCCAAATCGCTTCAATAATTTTGAGAATAAACTATCTTATACTCGCCAATTATTTAGACACCACTGACAAACGGTGAAGGAAAACACCGTGAGGAAACCTGGGCTTATCAATACATAGTATAAAACAAAGTCGCTTTCGCTGTATGTCCGTATGTATGCTTAGATCTTTAAAACTACGCAACGGATTTTGATGCGGTTTTTTTTAATAGATAGAGTGATTCTTAAGGAAGGTTTGTATGTATAATACATGCATATTGCACCCGTGCGAAGCCGGGGCGGGTCGCTAGTAATTTATAATTTTAAGTTTGAAGTTGTCGACCCGCATTGAGCAAACGTGGTGATTAATGCTCAAACCTTCTCCGTGTGAGAACAGGCTTTGCTCAGCAGTGGCTGTTGATGATGATGATGATGATACTCACCCGTGATTTTACTCCCCCAGTCGGTAGCCCACGACATGTTAGGTACGATAGGCGAGCTGGGCATACCAGGAGGATCGGCGACGAGAATCCTACACACACTGCGAGAGCTATCAGTAGCACTGTCCGCCTGCATATACCAGAGTCTATGCGATTCTGATACCTTCAGCTTGAAACACGCACATCATCATGATGGGTGAGTTAAAATTGAATTTGTTTTCTGTTCCCATTTCCAACAGGGACTATAGATTCTCCTAATGAATACTTTCAACAACCAATCATCAAATGAAACTGGTTGGTAATTATATTTTTTTTAAATTATAATATTTGCTGCAGACATTATTCGAAATAGGTTTACTTTTAAGACATCTGTATAGACTTGTTAATAAATACCAATCTAAGCAGTCAAGGTTTGCGACAGATAGACTTTGAGACCAACGGCAAGTACCAACGTGAGTCCGAGTTAAATATATTTTCTAAGATTATTTAGACACCACTGACAAACGGTGAAGAAAAACGCGGGGAAACCTATACTTAATTTTAAATTATAAACTTGAAATCGCCAACCCGCGACGAGCAACCGTGGTGATATGCTCAAATCTTCTCAGTGTGAGGAGAGACCTTTGGCCAACAGTGACCACTTATAGACTGGTGATGATACTTGGACATGACTGCCATAGATTTTTAGCAATACACAAGTGCATCATATTTTTACTACACAAAAGTGTACCATATTTTGTAATTGTTTGACAGTATCATAGCTGAAACTCCGGGTACTAGTCAAATCCTCCTACGACAGCGGCGTCATTCCACGGACGAGCTCTCTGTCACTACTCCACCGAACAAATGGCCAGGTGTGTACATTTTACTTATTGGTTGTATTGCATTTATTAAGTTAGTTGTTAGAATATCGATACTTATGTAATATTATTGAATGGAGAAGTGTAATAATTAGGTCTTTCTTTACCTTATTGTATCTCCTATATCTTAGCAATGGAAAACTATTAGAAGTTGTGGTCGGTATTTAGTTTTAAATAGATGTGAGACGACAAGATACACATTTTGTTTTTGCCACTTCAGTGACTTTGCATGAACTGTGTAGCTTGTCTGGCACGTAGCGTCGCGTATTGTCTCGATGTGAACTGACCCTAACTTTAAACATTTATATGTATAGGAGTATCAGCCCTCCGCGGCCTGGCTCTCCGCGCGGCGGAGGAAGAAGACGCCCCCCGGCTGGCCGTGCTGCTGGCGGAGGCGTTCTGCGCGGTGTACCTGGCGCTGCTGGGCTGGGCGGCGGCGGCGCGCGACGCGCACCTGCTGTACCGGCTCACGGCGCACGCGCCGCTGGCCGCCGACCACGCGCGCCTCTTTGGCGGCGGCGTGCGCAGGCTGCTCACTACTGCGCCCGCGCCCTCCATGCAGGTCAGTAGTGTACACTAGGCAGCACCCGACCGACTAGTTACAATCTGACCCACATCTATTGTTGCCTAAAAAAACGTAGGTGAAAATACTTACGGTCATATTTATGTCCTATAGGTATGTATGTCTTAAAGTGTACAATTATATATTGCCTAACTAATATCGAGCCTAATGATAAATCACTTTACTACTGAAGCAATCTAATAACTGTTCAAGAATATCATGGTAGAAATACAATATTGATGAAATTACAATCTTCAGTAAACGACAAGACTCTTCTCATTCAATTAACCGATCTTCTATATCCCACTCAATAACTCTTACTTTCCCCACAGCCAAAACTAGTGGAGCGTCCAGAAGGCACATCAGTATGGTCATCTCTCCGTGAGAAGCGCGCCCTCCTGAACATGCGACTGCTAGGCCTGGGTCCCACGGCCCCCCACAAGAACATCCAGGAGGGTCGGCCCACCTACAGAGAGCAGTTTGTACCGCCACACTGCAGTATACTCACTTATTTGTTGACTAAGGTAAGTGTTTTTTGGTGATTTCGGTATTTTTGGTGGATTCTAAGGCCCGTTATATCCTCTTTACATTAGATGTTAACTCTGTGGTATAAATAACTCTATATTTTCTACTTCTACCCTAAGGTTGACTGGTAGAGAATGCCATGTGCCATTATAAAATTGTGTACATTATAGAATAAATAAATAAATATTTGACTCTAACATGCAATGTGAGGTAAACCTACAAATTTGTGATAAATCCAATGGATTCCATCACAATATCATGACATAATAATGTTCATAAAACTACCATCTTTGCTGATACAATAAAGTTGATGCTGACAATCTGAGCTGATGATGACAATCGAGTTCCACAGCTAAGTGCTGTTTACTTAAATAATAAAAGCATTTTGGTATCTTATCACTTGAGACTTTATATTTTCAACCTTATACTATTATAATAAGGTAAATTATTGTGTAGCCTACCGCGGAACAAGACCCAGAGAACTATGACTACGACTCCGCAGAGTCCGGAGGTGAAGATGTTGATGACAGTGGCAGTGAAGCCGATGACGACGATATATTCGACACTAGCAATACCAAGTAAGTTTATGTCTTAAACTCATTAAATTAAAGTTTATATTTCAAAGGTTGAGTTGAAGAAGTAGTGGTAAAGTTGATATCTTGGGAAGTGGGTAAGTAAAACATTTTTAAGACCCATAGTTATGTTTCCACAAAACGTGTCTTTGATTCGTTTACGATGTTTGGATTTAGACTCGTTTTTAATTAAAATAAGTATAAATTAATATTAAATAAAGCATAAAACAAGCATAAAACAAGCATTACTGGGTTTTTAAAAAAAATCCCACTAGTAGCAAGCTAGCATCATAAAAGGCGTGATGTTATGTCATGTTATAAATTAAAGCTGTAAACAACCTGAGCATTAATTATTATTTAACTTATTAACCGTACTACTATACATATAAAAACATGTTTAATTCCTAATTATTAAAATACATTTTATACTAACACAGAAACGAGAAACGCCGCAAACAAGCGAACACGGAACATTCAGATCCCGATTCTTACTCGTGGTTGGTGATGCGTATTGCGGTACTACGTCTAGCGCAGCAGAAGTTGCAGAACTTCTTACAGCTGTGCGGGATTGAGATGTCAGGTATAACTTACAACCTTTTGATTGGCCACAGCACAGAACTTAAAATACCTAATAGAACCGGTTTTTATAATAACTATCGTGAGACATACTAAATTAAGTAAAAACGCGGGTAACTCACGTGAATATACTGAGAAAAGCTCTACTAGTTTCGAACCACAGAGGGGTTCTTCCTCATGAGCAGCGTGCGCGGTCGCGGCGACGTCGCTAACTAGTAGAGCTTTTCTCAGTATATTCACGTGAGTAACCCGCGTTTTTACTTAATAGAACCGGTGTATTTTGAAACTTTATTCTTCTCAGGCTTATTATATTCAAGCTAAATTAGGTCGGTATTTCTATCCGACTACTCTGAGAAGAAACACTTAAACAAATTTAGGGGCTACAGTCTCTTTTGGTCATTCTAGTAGACCAGACGCGTGCTAATACCGCTTAGTTCAATTATTTGTTAATTAGAATTTGACTTTTAGCCACATGAGGATAAGATCGATCTTCCATTACATAAATAGCTAAATGAATAAACTATGTACCCACACAGAGTTGGCGACCACAAGTCCGATGGTGCACGGAGCCCTGCGCCGCGTGGACCAGTGGCAGCAACAGTTGACGGAGACGCTGGAGTCCCGGCCGCCGCCCCCCGACTATATTCCCGGCTGCTTCCCAGAGCAACTGCCTACTGGACCGCCTATCAATAAGTACAGGCAAGTATCATCACAATAAAATGATGAAATGACTGAACAAATATTGTTTTCATGTTCAAACTTGGAAAATTAAAATTAATTATGTAGTGTGAGCTACACTAATGCAGCTTACTCACATCATTATATTATATACGTGTGCATTTCATAATTAAGGGCTCCAGTCGAGCTCGAAATTAGTCGATCATCCCCGTAGTAAATGAAACCTTATGAAAAGTGTAAATTTAACCTTTTATTTATCATATGTCTTGTTGCAGGTGTTTGTTAGAAAAGCATAATACTCCATTTAGTTCGGTGCTGTTCAGTGCGGCTCCAGCGCGAAGGTTATGGAGCTTCCTTGTGAGACAAGAACCGGTCCAGGTAACAAAATGCATGAAAAATTTAAAAACCTTTTTGAAAATGTATGATGATTCATTCTTTAGAGTTTTATCCTTACCCTAATTATACCCTGTAATTATCCTTTAATTAAGCTGCTAGTTAGCGTCAATCACTTATTCATATCGAGATGTGCAAAACCAGTATAAACTGACCATTTAATGCGCGAAAAGATACATACAAGACGAGATTATGATAAACTAGCTACTACCGCGCGGTTCCACACGCTCTGCTCAGCTCCTATTAGTCGTAGCCTTCCTCGATAAATGCGCTATCCAACACTAAAAGAATTATTCAAATCAGACTTGTAGTTACGGAGATTAGCGCGTTCAAATAAACAAACAAAAAAAACAAACTTCCGCTTTATATAATAGTAAGTATAAGTATGAGTTCCGTATATCTTGATGTATAGTCATATGTACAACGAATCTTACGCATAAAACACTTTTTGGGCTAAAATGAGTAACTGATTTCAATAAAAATCGTCCAGGACTTGTTCATCCGCGCCGTGTTCTCCCGTCGTCGCGCGGGCTCCCAGTCCGAGGCAGAGTCCCGCGCGGGCGGCCAGCAACAACGGGACCGAGACCTCGACCTACACAACCCTGTACGCATCATACACAAGGAACAGGACTCTATTGCTGCGTTCTGTTTGAATAAGGTAAGAGTCAAATGTGCATATCATATAGTGCACAAAAAAAATATAATATATAGGTAGGTAAAAATATATAATAGGTAGGTACAGGTAAAAAGTAATTCTGTAATTTATATGTATCCTATGTTTGTATAGTTTGTAGCTTCAAGTTTGCCCCATTGTGTTTGCTAAGTAGATTTATGGTAATCCGTGGCAACGTCGTGAGGAGTGTATTTGTTAAATCTATTATTTTACTCACCTGTTTGTTGTCCTTGATAAATAAAAAAAAATGTGGTAATAACGTATAATATCGTAATACAATGTTGCGTCTTGTCTATTCATCTACATGTTTGTTTGGTGGTTTGATATACTCAAAAACTACTGGATGGATTTTTATGACATTTTCGCATGTGGACTAAATGATGAATATGCAGCGACTACATAGATAATG